GCTAATAAATTAGCTTGGGCAGCAACGTCTGTGCTTTCATCCAGTTGCAGCGAAAAATATTCACTTTGTTTTAAGACAGTAATAATAGCTATTTTCACATTTTCCGACATTTCAACAATTCTTCTTTTCACAGTCGTATTCGATAACGGAATTTCATTAATTTTTTTGGTACATTTTTCATCAAACAAAACATTACTTATTATTTTTGCTGTGGGAATAATAAGTTCTTCTCCCACAGTGTGAGCTAACCCCTTCTTTGCGATTAACAATGAAAGCTCATAAGAAACTTGGGTACTTGTTATGTTTTGTTTTGAAGATTTTTCCATGACTGATTTAGTCATAGAAAGATTTTTTTTCTTGATTTGAAAAAAATCGAGAGATTTTCCTACATATTCAGGATGTTTAGTTGATAGATGCCTTTCAAGTTTTGAAAATTTCATACATTCGTTGGATAGCGTTTAGAAACAAATCACACACTGCGGCATAGGCTCCTCCTCAGTACCAAAAAATACAAACCCGATTTTTAAAAAGTCAGGGTCATACTTACGAAAATATATTTTAGTTTTCTTTGTTATATTCAAACTTGACACATCAACAATCTCACTACTAGTAGTTCCACTACTACTAGTTCCTTCATCATTTGACAGCTTCGTCTTACGACAAGATCCAGTTCGAAACCAAGTATCCATATTTACGTGTAGCGTAATTAATAATATGTACTATGACACTATGTAGTATTATATGTAGTAACTCACAGCAGACACAACGACGCATAAACACACAACCACTGTCGCAAAATAACTAGTTTACCAATTTACGAAATCGAAAGACCTATTAAATTTATCGCAACCCGCACGCCGTGCACGTTAAATACGATAAAAATGACAGATAACAAGAACCTACTAATAATCAACGAACTATATAAGATAGAACTACATTCAAACATTCGATATCGTATCGTTAATTGCACACTTACTGTACATTATAGTTAAAATTGATTAAATATTATTATGATTAGAAATATAACAAAAAATATATAATAATATTATTTTAAATATATATAATATTTAATATTATACCTATGGCTCGCGGCCCAGTACCATGCTGCTCGCGGTCCACAAGTGGGCCGCGGCCTATGGGTTGGGAACCGCTGGTCCAGACTATAAAAAATATTAATTTATACACAGAGTATTCAAAATTATATGTTAATTTTATTTTATATCTAGGTAAATAACAATGAATAATTGTTGTATATAATTGTATTTATTTTATCTGAACAAAATTTGATTAATAATAACTTTTAAATAAACATAATAAAGAGATTGAAAAAGATTGATTCAAATTAAAAAAAATATATCTAATATCACTTCTATAATGGGTATATTATAATAATAATTAATCTTAATACAATTAAGTAAATAATCCTTTTTTTTTCTATTTGTCTTCAATTATAGTCTTAAAAAATAAACTAATAACACTTATGAACTAATAATAATAAGAAATAATATGAAAATACAATGTACTTTCCTATATTTTGTACATTGTGTGGCATTACAATAAAATTGTATTAAAAATTTGTTTTGGGGGAGGCTCAAATTTGAAAATTTAACATTTTATCCATCATCTATACACTATGTATTTAAATATATCTACAGAATGTAACTTGTCTATTTGACAAATGCGATAATGTCAAATGGACGAGTTATACTCTGTATATATATAATTATTTAAAATTGGTATCGTTGGTATACATTTTGACTTCACTGCCAATTTTGTTCTTATCTTTTATGACTATGTTACTAAATATACTGACTTGATTGCAATATTATTCAAGTTATTTAATTATAGACTAAGATCATCGATTGAAGACTGTAAAGAAACGTTTACTTTTACTTTTTTGGAGTATTTTGGAGGTACCTAATTGATATAATTAT